AAAACAATATAATTTTAAATATTTTATCACTTAATTTTTATTATACTAATTAACATTCACTAATCACCTTGCAAAATAAATATAATATATTTTTATTAGATACAGATTTTTATGGGTCCCGGTCTATGAGACAGAACAAATTTCTTGAAATTTTTCAAGAAAAAATTTCCTCTATCTCTACTTTATAAAAATTTTCTTTAAATTTTTACTCCTACGATGAAATTCTTACAAAACTTCTCGAGTTTAGAAACAAAATTGGCACCCCTAAGTGGTGGCTTCTCTGGAGTGACGATTCGTGACGGCCCTGACACAAGCGAAGCCCTTAGAATGTACTCTCTTTCTTATCCGGATTAGTACCTCTAACGTGTCATATGATGTGGCAATTTCATTGGGACACGTCACAAAACGGTTCGATCATCCCAACCGTTGGAATCGAAAAAATTTGACGGGTGGATGCATCCATATCCAATCCTATTGCTGGGTTCTGTTGCATTTGAGCCAAATTATTCCAAACCCAAATATATTCGGCTGTATTTGGGCAAATGGATGTGTTTAGTTACATATTATGGACACACTTTATTGACCTCAATTACTTATGACTGATCAACGGTGATGGCAGCACGATACCAACTTTGGTCAAACAATTGGGAAAATCCATTGCCGTTGATCAGAAATACTTACCAAATTAGTCTAATACAAGGTCAATGATACTGATGATGCTAATAAAAGCAAGATCAACAATAATTTGATTAAGTTGGTACTTATTAATATAAAAATTTTAATTTTAAACTAAAATTAAAGATTTAAACTTTTGTTATATTAAGGAGTTAACCATCAATGTACTAAAAAAATAAAAGCAAGAAAAAATGGTGTGTGCAGGTTAGTGAAGTTGGAAGAAGTCAAGAAGACAGGCACGAGAGGACGTCATGCCCTTATATTTACACGGTATTTACGGAACTAATTTTGTTCATTGCTCTTTCATATTTTTCTTGTTTTCCAATGCCATTCTTCTTGTTGAACTGGATGAAAAAACTTAATATATAATAATTGAACTCAGATGTTCAAAATGAAATTGTAATTAGTAGTACAAAATAATATTTTATAGACTTGATATTATATTAGACTATAAAATACAAATCATTATATTAAGAGAGGCTTTCTAATAATAAAGGAGACACCTTTCATTCGATGATTGGTGTTTTGCAGTCCGCTAACACCAAATTCTTCACATTAATATCATAAATAGATATAAAAATGTTTGAAGAAAATTTAATTAAGTGATTTTTTATAACATAAATATCCAAATCTTTTTATTAAGAGTTTTGCAATCTATTACTTATATTCCATATATTCCATCTAGTACTATAAATTAATATTGATATGAAATTAATATTGAGTCAAATTTTCTCTTTTACAGATAGCATGACAAACTAGATAAGTGATATGTATTGAAATTTGTAATGTGTTTTAAAGACTGTTTTAAGGATATAAGGAAATAAAACATAATAAGTTCTATTATTTGATGTAACTTTCATACATTTTCAAGCACTTTTTCACGCCTTAAAACAAATTTTGCAGCAGGAAGTACTTATATCCTGCAAACTATTGTACGAGTCTTTCATTTACAAGGCAATAGAATTCAAAGACAGTGCATTTAACCTCTAAGCCTTGGGTTTGGGAGATCCTCTTATTTCCAATTTACCTGGAGAACCTACCTCCTCTGTAATCAAGTTTTGTTTTTTTTTTTTTTAGGAGGTATCTGACTTTTAACCCCCCCTAATCCAGTTTAAGGACTTGGGATTTGGTCAATTCCAACTAAGTACTTTATCACACCTTATAACAACTTCTACAGCATGAAGTACTTTCATGCATCCCTCAAAATTTTGTAGATGACTTCTATCTGTGAGACAATAGAATTCAAATGTTAAATTTAATTTATTCATGCAAAATGGATTGGGCATGATATGCTTGATTCTTCCTGTCAGTACATGGTTCTAG